TTCCGACTCTTTAAAAATCGGGCGGAAATTGTCACATGTAAACGGAAATCTCCAGCATTTTACAATAAGATTTGTGCTTTGTAGTGAAGTCCCTGGACTGAAAAAATCTTTACTATACTTATATCAAGGGGATACTATACTATATATACTTCACTATATCGAGTTGGAATTTAATAATACCGAAATTCAAAAATTCTTCACTATATTAAATCTTAAAAAGAATTACAACCGTTTACCCAGCAGTATGCGATAATCGACAAAAAAATTTGATCATCCCGACGAAAAAAATATATAAATCCAATTCTATCTTGAAACATTAATTGAAAGTATCGATTATAATTCATCTAATTTTATCTATATGATCCATTTTCCTATCTTTGACTAATTTTAACCCGGGCACCCTACCCTTAATTTTTTTTTGAAAATGTTAAGTCACATGCTGAGTATTTAGATATTTGGGAATCTTTATAAAGTAGAATCTCAAAACTATTTAATGTTAAATATTTATACTGGCCAATGGCATTGACTATAATGCAACCATAACGGATTAGATTTAAAAACTCTGACGGTTTCTTCATCTTCGCGATCAATCAACAACTTGCTCATGTACATACACGGTTCATTCGAAAGGTAGCCCGATACCCAAACTTTATCTACAACCCACAAATCATCTTTTGAGTTTTTTATTGGCATTACGACAAATGGACCTCTTTGACGTGATCTTCGTGACCATCCTACTGCTGTAAAACCGAATGAAGAACCATATGTAATCACTAAGTCATCGCATAAACTAAGCAACTTCATATCAATAAGGGCGCCAACATCTGAACCAGTGTTAACGCCACTAGAAGTATTTGGTGCATCCATATCATCATCATTGTGAACTATCTTAATGGAATTATTACTATGAGGATTAAATGCTTCATGAAGTGAATTTACCAATGTTTCGCGACCATAATTATTATCAGCAGCCACAAAGATAGTTATATTCGTGTTTTTCATTCCTAACAATAACATTTTCACTGCTTGACTATAATGCTCTACAGGTATTATCATATCATCTGGTGACTTTTTTTCTCTTAAATGAATTCCTATGACATAGTCGTTAAAATTATTATTTGCAAAAGTTTCTACTTGTTTGCTAATATTTCGGTGTACTCTCAGTATTTTTGGGCTGATTGCTGAAAAAATTCTATAATCAGGTATTATTTTAGTAAACCATTTCTCGTAATTAGGATTTGACGATATTGGAGCACATGGGTAATCCCAAGTTTTGACATGTAAAATATCTTCATCTTCGTTACTTAGATTTCCTCTCGTTATCAATTTAAAGTCATTATAATCATTAAGATCATGTAAATTTCTAGAAGTACTATTTTTATATAAGTCTGTAACAGTATTCCAATCATGTTCGAAATCTTTTTCATAATAATCTTCGAAATTATCATATCCATCAACAAAAAATAGCCTATCAGTAATTATTGAATATAAAAAACCACAAACTAATCCAGGTAAACGGTTTCCGTATCCTGCATACATTTCTACATGTACAACAACAGCTTTTGGAAGTTCTGATGAATTATATTCAGCAGATGCATTCAGTAAATTAGTAACTATTCTATTATGTTTTTTAACATATTCATTATATAATTTATCGAATTCTAAATATTTTAATTCTGTATATTTTCTCCCAGTATCGTTTTTCAATGTCATGTTCTCTACAATTGTGTGGTTCATTACTTTTTCCA